TTTTGAGGAAAGTAGACCAGAAATTTTAATCACTTTTTGAAAAAAACATGGTTATGTGAGGCGGTTGCATCAACCACTGCTTATGGATTGCATGCTGCAAGTTCTTGGCAATTATGACAGCCAGGGAAATTGGGAAATTCCTTATTTTGTAGAGAACTGACGAGGATTTTATAATGTACTCTAATTACCTACCTTTTAAAGATATTACTCACAGCAATTCTGGTTCACTCGTATTGCGATAGTATGAACGGGTGCAACGGTATACGCCAAACACACCAAACAAGGCATGGGTGACTTTCGTCAGTGGAATCGATTTTGTTGGCTCTCTGAAGTTAGACGTCTTGGTGCCGGTTGCTTTCCATGAACCAAGGTCGTCGGCCAAAAGGGTTCTCAAGCTCTTTACATGAGGCGATCGTAGATCGACAATGAATAACGTATTCTTAGACACGGATGTAGGAACTGCTCAAGCAACTCACGTCGTGTCAATTTCCTCATCTAGGAGAATGGCGACGGCCTCCTCAGTGGCAATCCTACTTCTACAACCCACAGAATAGACAGGTAGCATGGGATCGTCATTCCAGAATCTCAGGCCATCTCCAATGCTATCACTATCACTATCAGAAATGTCAACGAATTTCTCGTCCTGTTAAGGGAAAATATATGTCACGTTAGCGTGGAATGTTTTCCGGAGTTTTTTTTATTTAAGTCGGACTTAGATCAAATTTCAATAGCAGAGAAGAACCTAGGAAAGGGAAGCCGCTTTCTTTAAAAAAAGGGACATTCACATAATTTACATTATGAAAGACATACATACCTCAAGTAATTCAGTCGGTGAATCCGAAGTTCTGAGGGGAGATAGAATGATAGAAGAACTCACCATTAAAGAAGAAAATGCAGTTTAAGTCGGTTTTAAGAGGACAATAGTAGGGACGTTTAGATCAGAGTGCGAATACGAGAAAAAGTAGGAGTACGACTTTCGAATTTCAATCCTGTTACGTTCCCAGAGCTCTCACTGCTTCCTGTTTCACATGTCACGCACTTTTCCCTTCAAATCGTCACGCATAACCCCTTTATTACTCTGCGTGACTGATTGGAGACTGAATGGATTGCGTGACTTGGAAATATAAATTCGCAATTGACATCCCATATATCATACACTAACGTATTCGCAGAGAATATTTTGTAAACCAAAACTCCATTTACAATGCTTAGTTAATATAACTCCCCTTCTAAATTGTCAACATCTCGCAAGAAATGGTTTCCCTAGAAGTGACAACTTACAAGCAAGTATTAAATTTTTTTCATTTTTCCATTCTACAAATCCCGCGAGGTCGCTTGTCCCTATATTCTCCATGTTCAAAGAAAATTAAAAGATATTACTTCTACAAAAAGAGACTGAGGATTTTAATAACATGTAACACAATGAAAAACATTGACAGAACTACCTTGTGCTAATTCCTTTCATGGGCGACGGGCACGTCAAATCAATGGAAACAGGTTCATTGCTGCCCTTATCCTAAAAACAATATTAATTTCTTAATTTTAGTCAAAGTAAATTGTTGAGTACGTTTGATAGAAAATACTTTCTCTGGAAGGATTTGTAAATTCAGAGTTTCTTCCTCTTTCCCTTCTTTAAATTTTAAATTTCATCCAGGTATAATGCATCAAACTCCATTTGCATGCCTTGTAAGTTCCGGGGGTGGGGCATTTGAGATTTTTGCTCACTATGTTTTGAAAGTTTTAAATTTTTTTATTTTCATTTTATTTTCCTTTTTTAAGAACAATTGAATTTTCTCTTTTTTTTTCATTTAAAAATCTTGAGAAAAAATCTGGAGTCCCGAGTCCAGAGTCTAGTCCTGGTTTTATACTATGCCGCCAAATTATGGAACGGGCCAGTCATGAAAGAAGTGTTGCCAAGTAAAGACCAAAACTGGCAAAAGTTAAATCCAACTAGGCAAATGCATTCGCACGTGCAAATTCAATTGTCTCGTATATTAGCCAAGGCCGATGAGACAAAACCTGGTTCTTTCTGAATGTGAAACTCCCCAATTTCTCCCTAGTCTTCTACCAATTCAAACATGATACCTAATCCTCAAATTGAAATCCTGGATGTTAGACTCACCTCTTTTAAAAGGTTAAAAAGGCATAAAGAATATTCCTCTTAAAGATGAGAACCATAAGAAAACTATATGGGGGGGGGGGGGGGGGGGTACTCCCTATAATGGGCTATACGTGGAGGTTCCGCCCAAAAGGGGTACTTTTTTCAGCCTTCGGGTATATAAAAGGGTAGGGATTTCACAATTTTAAGTATAGAAGGATAAGCAAATTTTTCATTTAGGTATATAAGGGCATTTAATTAAAATATCTCGCATATATAGTTCATACTCTGGAGTCTGGACTCATTAACTTCATTCCCAGGGTTTAGAAAAAGGGATACAACGTTCTTACATAGGTATGTGAAAGGGGTATCATTTTTAAGTGGAAGGTATACGAAAGGGGTACCTTTTCTCTCAAAAAATGGTATATGAAGGGTATGGGGTTGGACCTTGGTGGGGAGCCTCCCCATATAAAACTTTCTTAAGTACCCCCCCCCCCCTCCCAGGTATATGCACCAATTTATAGAAAAAACCGCAACATTTATATTACCTTTAAAACATAAGGAGCTTTCAAGGTAAATGGAATGAAACATTCACAGAAGCGTATATAGCCCGATAACCTGTGAGTAAGGAGAGCCACGCCCGATACTAAATCTTTTACAGTATCAATTCATTCAGAATTTATTACTTAAAATCATCGATCCATTTACTATCGCATGACGAAGTCACTTGTGGTTTTAACGGCAGCAGTAAATTGTAATACGCTAACTTACTTTCATCATCACACATAGTACCTTGATTTTTTTATAAGATATTGGTGGTTTTACATCGACGCCAAACAATAGTTTACTCAAATTACGTCATAAAATTGTACAAGAGGTTAAGTAGAATTTATCCTCCATTCATTTGAATCAGTATTATCACATCTGAAAATCTGGAAATGACAAAAAATATCAGTTTTTCTGAAAGTTCAGAAAGCCGTTCATCGAGACATCAAAAGTTCCACAAGGTTTAATTGCAAAACAAATCGATCAATAAGAACAACTTTGATGACATAAGCTAAAACCACCAATTTTTGAAGGATATTTCAAACCCTCTCTCCACTTTACTCCCAGCCGTCAGCTAGACCAGTATTTGTAATTCCTGGGCGAGGTGCTGGTGATGCGCTGGCGTCAAGTGAGGTCGAAGAACACTGGGGATGACCACAAGAAAAGGCAGAAAAGCTGCTTGCATCGCCCTCACACATTCAACTCGGCAATGAAAGTATACGTTCCCCAGGTGACCACGCTTTTGTTCACCATTTTGCCAATAGGTCCTCCTCGTGGCAGTGATAATAACGAGGTCATTTGGGGCTGATGGTATGTGCCTTTCATTTTCAACAGCTGGCCACAACCGTAGCATTTCTTCACCGATGAGTGGCAGAATCTCAGTAGCCCAAGTTGGAAGGCACCCTCTTGCATTTTGGGGGGTGACGGCAACGCCGTTCCATCACTGGAAGACGCATTCCATACACCGTATTCACAAATGGCGGACACGCGGGAAAAAACTGGTGCCTAGTCATGAAAGCGAGGCGTTGGAGGATAAACAAAAATTGCAAATGAAGACTTTCAGTGAACTTCCAGAGTGTTTAGCACGGATTCCACCTAAAATAACTTTGTACGGACTTCTTTTTAAATACAGTTACGTGGGATGTCTTCTGCTTTTAATGTTTAGTAATGATTTGCTGTTTGCAATTAAAAGGGACGCGTATATCTGCAAGGCAAAGCAACAGCGCCATGAAATCGTCCTCTGCACTTTCTTGACTCTTTTGCTTTATGTTGGTCAACTGCCTCACATTACGTGCATGACCACCCGTAGATGTTATCTTCAAAATTCCACCACTTTCTTCAAGGTTCTTATGGAAAGCTTCCTTTGGGGGATGTTTTTTAGCGAGTTCCTCCAGCCGGTTCTTGGTTAATTCCGAAGTGCGATAATATGGCTTGCCGTTTTTGGCGTTTCCATGAGGCTTGACCTTAACTTCCCTCTCCGCACCATCGAACACATGCTGGAGCAAGGCCATACTGTGCTGCCTTCCATCACCACCTTAAAGAGAACGAATTCTACCTTAAGTAGTCATACTTGGTTTTTTTTGAGGAAAGTAGACCAGAAATTTTAATCACTTTTTGAAAAAAACATGGTTATGTGAGGCGGTTGCATCAACCACTGCTTATGGATTGCATGCTGCAAGTTCTTGGCAATTATGACAGCCAGGGAAATTGGGAAATTCCTTATTTTGTAGAGAACTGACGAGGATTTTATAATGTACTCTAATTACCTACCTTTTAAAGATATTACTCACAGCAATTCTGGTTCACTCGTATTGCGATAGTATGAACGGGTGCAACGGTATACGCCAAACACACCAAACAAGGCATGGGTGACTTTCGTCAGTGGAATCGATTTTGTTGGCTCTCTGAAGTTAGACGTCTTGGTGCCGGTTGCTTTCCATGAACCAAGGTCGTCGGCCAAAAGGGTTCTCAAGCTCTTTACATGAGGCGATCGTAGATCGACAATGAATAACGTATTCTTAGACACGGATGTAGGAACTGCTCAAGCAACTCACGTCGTGTCAATTTCCTCATCTAGGAGAATGGCGACGGCCTCCTCAGTGGCAATCCTACTTCTACAACCCACAGAATAGACAGGTAGCATGGGATCGTCATTCCAGAATCTCAGGCCATCTCCAATGCTATCACTATCACTATCAGAAATGTCAACGAATTTCTCGTCCTGTTAAGGGAAAATATATGTCACGTTAGCGTGGAATGTTTTCCGGAGTTTTTTTTATTTAAGTCGGACTTAGATCAAATTTCAATAGCAGAGAAGAACCTAGGAAAGGGAAGCCGCTTTCTTTAAAAAAAGGGACATTCACATAATTTACATTATGAAAGACATACATACCTCAAGTAATTCAGTCGGTGAATCCGAAGTTCTGAGGGGAGATAGAATGATAGAAGAACTCACCATTAAAGAAGAAAATGCAGTTTAAGTCGGTTTTAAGAGGACAATAGTAGGGACGTTTAGATCAGAGTGCGAATACGAGAAAAAGTAGGAGTACGACTTTCGAATTTCAATCCTGTTACGTTCCCAGAGCTCTCACTGCTTCCTGTTTCACATGTCACGCACTTTTCCCTTCAAATCGTCACGCATAACCCCTTTATTACTCTGCGTGACTGATTGGAGACTGAATGGATTGCGTGACTTGGAAATATAAATTCGCAATTGACATCCCATATATCATACACTAACGTATTCGCAGAGAATATTTTGTAAACCAAAACTCCATTTACAATGCTTAGTTAATATAACTCCCCTTCTAAATTGTCAACATCTCGCAAGAAATGGTTTCCCTAGAAGTGACAACTTACAAGCAAGTATTAAATTTTTTTCATTTTTCCATTCTACAAATCCCGCGAGGTCGCTTGTCCCTATATTCTCCATGTTCAAAGAAAATTAAAAGATATTACTTCTACAAAAAGAGACTGAGGATTTTAATAACATGTAACACAATGAAAAACATTGACAGAACTACCTTGTGCTAATTCCTTTCATGGGCGACGGGCACGTCAAATCAATGGAAACAGGTTCATTGCTGCCCTTATCCTAAAAACAATATTAATTTCTTAATTTTAGTCAAAGTAAATTGTTGAGTACGTTTGATAGAAAATACTTTCTCTGGAAGGATTTGTAAATTCAGAGTTTCTTCCTCTTTCCCTTCTTTAAATTTTAAATTTCATCCAGGTATAATGCATCAAACTCCATTTGCATGCCTTGTAAGTTCCGGGGGTGGGGCATTTGAGATTTTTGCTCACTATGTTTTGAAAGTTTTAAATTTTTTTATTTTCATTTTATTTTCCTTTTTTAAGAACAATTGAATTTTCTCTTTTTTTTTCATTTAAAAATCTTGAGAAAAAATCTGGAGTCCCGAGTCCAGAGTCTAGTCCTGGTTTTATACTATGCCGCCAAATTATGGAACGGGCCAGTCATGAAAGAAGTGTTGCCAAGTAAAGACCAAAACTGGCAAAAGTTAAATCCAACTAGGCAAATGCATTCGCACGTGCAAATTCAATTGTCTCGTATATTAGCCAAGGCCGATGAGACAAAACCTGGTTCTTTCTGAATGTGAAACTCCCCAATTTCTCCCTAGTCTTCTACCAATTCAAACATGATACCTAATCCTCAAATTGAAATCCTGGAGGGAAAAATACCAATTCTATCAGATGTTGGGTTTAAAAGATTCTTTGGCTAGTGACACCTAGGACACCTGGGACACGTGGAATGGCTGGAACACATGGGACACCTGGGACACGTGGAATGGAACACCTGGAAAAACATGAAACAAAATATGCTTGCCCGGTGTATTTGCTGTCCTTTTATAGAATAAAAATTATTAAATTATCATTAATTATGATTATTAGTAATATGCTTGCTCAACAGGGAACTCTCTGAACTTTATGCTAGGTAAGGAGTGGGCACTCATCCAGACCACAACCTGTAACCTGCAGATTAGGCCTTCTGTTGTATGGCATATGAGAATTTTGATGACAAAGATATAATTTATTTCAAAAACAGAAACTGGCACAACTTTATTACATAAAATAATGAATTGACATACCAAAGCTATGCTGCTGTCGCACATTACTAAATAAAAAAGAAACCAGAACCAATGCAAACGATGTAAAGTGATTTTGTTAAAAAACAAGCCAGAATTGTGAACAGTAAAACCCTGAGTATAAGACCCTAGAAGTTAAGAGCCTGTATTGCTTAAAGTTTCTATTTAGATCTTCTTCAAATAGGTCCCTGTGTAAGCAAGGATTTTAAAGCAAGTTCCTTATTTTATCAAATGGAGTCAAAACTATCGCCATTTCTTTGAATTCAGATGTTATAAATTAATAGAATAAGGAATGTAGACTGGTAAATTCATTGTGTGATAAAGCCGATCAATTTTTTCCCTCTGGGAATCATAGTTAGCAGATGGGAAAAAGTTTTATTCATGAGAGTTGACGGGCTTTTCATCTGTGAATTATAACAATGTTTACGGCTGGTGAGTCACCAATGTCTCAGGCAATGAAAGTAAACAGCAAACACAACGACGGTAGATTCAACAAGTGGCTGGAAATCCTCGCCTTGGAAGATTTACCAACGAAACACTGCAAGAGAGAGAACAGTGGCTTGAAATCTAGCATGAGGAGCGGAGAAAAAGGTAACAATAGGAAACCATGGAGCACAGAGAACATCCCTTAGCACAGTGAAAGCAATGTGGTCAACTCAGCGACCACGGACATGTACAGAGGCAGTGACAAACTACTACATTATTACACTGCAAACAAAGCCGATGAAGAGAGGGAACACAGACTGCCAACAGTTCAGGAGATCAGGCAACGGTTGAAGTGTATATAGTCAAAGTTATCTTCTTTGATGCAAAACACGTCAAGAATATCGTTCCAAGGGACTGAGGACAGCTGGTCAGTCTTTACACTATGAGCAACAAAGGGTTTTACAGTAAGCTTTATTTTACTTTGAACAGTTTAGAACACTGATAATGTGACATGTATAGGGGATGTGTTACAGAATTTATAAACGAAATCCTTTTTTTTTATTTTTTATTTTTTATTAATAATAACTAAATTACAACACAAAGAAAAAAAAACAAAAAAAAGGATCAAAGAAAGTACAGTTCGACTACCTAAAAAAGACAGGAGCAATAAACGAATGTTGATTGTGTACAATCAGTCAGATATATCTAGTTAAATACAAGACTTACAAATCTTTCAAAATATTTTTTGGTATTTGACCGTCAGGGAAAGGAAACAATCGATATCAAGAGCTGTATTAAGAGTAATCTGTAAGAAAGTTCCATTTTTTAGTGTCCCCTGCTTTTTTCTCTATAATAGATCTTGACTTAACTAGGCGTAGAAAATTTGCAAAATTAGGCGATATTTCATCCATTTTGGCTTGCCAAATATGAAACCGCGCTAATAGGAGACAATAGTGTAATTGACAGGAGTATTCTGTAGAATGAGGCTCTGGCCTCAAGCCCAGTGCAGTAATGTTCAATAAGTTGTATTTGCCGATTAACGGAAGAGTGTTTTGAAGCCAGTCGGTTACGCTTTTCCAAAAAGAGGATGTAACATGGCAAGACCAAAAAAGATGAATCAGCGTCTCTGAGGAATTGTTGCAAAAGGTACAGTTGCCATTTTCTTTTCGTCCTATTTTAAGTAAGAAATCATTGGTTGGTATGCGCCTATGTAATAGTTTAGATTGGAACTTTATCAGTTTGGTGCTTTTTGTGCACCGTTGCGCCATAAGACAGGCGAGTTCCCAATGAAATGTATCTTCTTTGTCTGAAAAGTTGCAGTCTTGAAACCACTTTAGTTGGCTTTTACGTGGGGTTAAACTTTTGGCTCTGATCAGTTTTTGGTAAATTAATGGACCTGGCTTTTCTCTCTTAACAATATTTTCACTTAACGTTTCAAAGGTATAGTCTCTTGTCTCAGCAGTATCGGTAACATTTTTGCGAATTTGTTTAAGAGCTGATAATAAACCAAACAAACTGAGCGGGTGTACTCTTAAATCATGTTTGGCAGCAAAATCTTTGAGCGTCAGAAAATTATCGTTTCCTGAGTGGAGGTGTTTAACTTTGGAGATACCTATTTCAAACTATTCTTTAAAAAAAATTGGTTTATTATCTATCCTTATTAAAGAGTTGAACCACAGAAACTGTTCCTTAAAAGCGATATCAGAGCTTACTTGATCCACAAAGTTTATTTCTGCCCAATATTCCAATATTTCTTTAAGAAAGGGTCTGTTGCTCTAACCTCTTTCTTAATGTCCGAGACATTGAGATTACCACGGAAAATGAGATTGCGACCATAGTTCTCCAGTTCTAGATCAAAGAGAAATTTCCATTTTCCGTGGTTAGTCGTGTCCAAGTACTTTTTAACCCGTGTTGTTTTAAGAGATTTGTTGAAAGAGCAGAGATCAATCATCTTCAGGCCTCCATTTTCAGGTTCATTGATCATAACTTTTCTCTTAATTTTGTCACCTTTACCATTCCATAGAAAATGGTAAAACATGTCATTTAATTATTTTATAGCGTGATGATTTGAGCGTAAAGGGGAGAGCAGGTAAACCAGTTGTGATGCGGCCAGTGATTTGGGGACAGTAATTTTCCCTAACAACGTGAGCCTACGGTATTTCCAGCAGTTCAAAAGCTTCCTAATGTTTTCAGTTTTTTCGTTGTAATTCAACCTTAAAGCCGTGTCCGGATCAGTTGACAGCCACAGAGCAAGTGTTTTGACTTTATATTTTGGCCACTTAAACTTCTTTCCTGAAACAAGGATTTGTTCATGCCCTATCTTAGAACTGATCCAAAGAGCTTCCGTTTTGCTATCGTTTAACTTAAGGCCAGAGATCTTACCAAAATCATCTAAAATTTGTATTGCTGATGTAAGGGATTTCTCTGAACTGTCTAAGATAAGAGTGGTATCATCAGCGTATTGGCTTATCTTAACTTCGTCATTACCTAGAGAAAACCTCTTATGCTCTTATTGTTACGGACGGTCTTGGCCAAGACCTCCGCAGCAAGAATAAACAAATATGGGGAAAGGGGACAGCCTTGCCTAACTCCTCTTTGAGGCTGGAAGAAGTTGCTTGACCAGCCATTGTTGAGTACACAACTTTCGATGTTGCAATAAAAGCTCCTCAACCAATTGATAAGTGATGGTCCAAAGCCAAAAAAACTTAGTGTATCAAAAATAAAGGGCCATTCAAGGGAATCGAAAGCTTTTTCAAAATCTATAAAGAGCAACAACCCGGGAACATTATGCTTACAAAATCCTTACTGAACAAAATTTTCGTTTACAATGTGCATTACATTTCCCCAAATCATCCCGAGTAAAATATTTACCGGTATATTTATAGCAGCCTTATACATAGACACAGTTGTGTCTTTTAAGTCAAATATCACAAAAATTTATTATTACTGGCCTACTATTTTCGATCCTATTTAATATTGGAAAAGAACATCCGTATTTCAGAACTCCTTACAAATCTCCTCACAATGTTAGGGTGTGACATAGTTGTCATGCTAGGCCATTTCAGTATAAGTCAGAGAAAATTTAACTCTTTCAAAGAAGTCAGAGAGGGTGCCATTAAATTCCTGCATCCTAGGCATTTAGCACATTTACACTTGGCGGTACTTTGGAGGTGGGAGTCAGAACACCCATCACTATGGACTACCGTTTTACCATGCAGGTCTTTCCAGGCCAAGAAGCAATTAATATCTGTAGGGCTTGCTGGAAGGATGGTTTTACTATTCGGAAGTGATGCCAAGAATTTGTCGAACTCTGTGTGAAGTGAGCACTTCTGCTTTGAGTATGCTGACTGGTAGGAGGCATTTTTAAGGTCTTGTAAACTGTTATCTATGGCTTTAAGGTTGACTGAAATGTTAGAAGTCTGAACATTTTGGGAATTCAAAAAACGGTCAGTGTAAAATGAAGACTGCGGACTGCGGACTGCAGACTGCGGACCAGGGGTAAAATGCAGTCTGAGTGTAAAATGCAGACTGCAGACTGAGAGTAAAACGCAGGCTGGGTGCAAAATGCAGAATGAGGACTGCAGACTCGGGGTAAAATGCAGACCGAGCATAAACCATAGTACCTGAAGGGTTTAAGGGCAAAAAAATCTCGAAAATACATGTAAACGATCACTTACTTGACATCTTCTTTTACAAACCTATTCCTTTCTTCTCTGGAATGTCGTCGACAACCCGAAAACATAATCGCAATCTTTTCCGTCCGAGAGCCAACCCTTCAAGTTTAGGAGCGAAGTTTGGCATACATGTGACCGTGGATTGGTACACGACGATGTTTATGCTTAAATAAAAGCTGCTGACGCAAAATACTGTACAGTAGGAATAATGGCGATAAAAAGGGAGTAAATCATCACCACAAAAAAGAAAGATGTTCTGCATGAAATGTGGATAACCTTCAATGAACTTATTGCAAATCAAGGTAGGCAGACTTAAGCTGTTCGGATGTTCATTGAAACTTCTGGGGAATGTGCTTTGTACTTTGACTAGGAAGCGAGTTGTGTATAAACTGATATCAGCTAGCTATTTGGAGAAGAAGGAAAACAAATGTTTAAAAAATGCATACTGTTCATCTGATAGATCTTCTAATGATGTGAGGGCTTTTTCGCAAAATCCCTGATATTTTCCTAGTACCAACAATCATTACATACGTATACCTATAGCGAAGTAAATAGGTCATAGTCAAAATGGCAGCGGATGTTAAGAAGGTAAAGCCAATAGACTACATGAACGTACAGCTCTCTAATTCTCTGTCAATTAAGGCATATGAAACCAAAACGTCACTATAGACAACGTCAAGGGCACAAGGCAGTTCTCCCGCAAACCGGCACGCTGTAGACCTAATCATTTCTGTATTGCAACATGGTACAAAGCCCCATGAAAGGGAACCCGCATTCCGGTATCCGTGAAATTTTTGCCTGTGGAATCCGGAATCTTGGACTTAGGAATCCGGAAAACAGCCCAAGGAATCCAGAATTCCTCTAACGATTGAAACCCAGAATCCAAGTTTCACTGACAAAGACTGGAATCCTCCTGAATCCAAAACTGTCTTGGATTCACTTAGGGATGGTTCATTATTTATGGGAATGACTGGGTCAGGAAAAAATCGAACGGGCTTTGAAAATTTTTCTTGCCATGGTGACGGGCTGTCTGTTTTTTTCTTAAACAAAGAGACCGGGCTTTAAAAAAAATCAACATAAACTAAAACTGTGGTAGAAACGTGGCAGTCGTTTGATGAGAACAACACATGGAAACTGTATTCCTCGTTGAAAATTCACCCGGTAAATTGTCGTACTTTCATATCAAAGAAATATTGCTATAATTTTTTTGGTAATGCAGGGATATACTCGCGAGAAAAAGCTCGTGCTTTGCGATCGAACACTTGAGAATTTTAACAGGCCACGGAATGACACAAATGTACTTTGTGAGCTGCTCTTTTATAGTTGTTTATATTCCTTGACATTTCAAAGCTTGTAATCAAATTAGAATTCCAAATGATGCGTGGACAAGGATTTTAACCAAAGTGAACTCCAACGGTTGGAATATTAAATCTTTGGACTCCGCCAGACTGTACACAAGAAAACAAGATGTTTTGATCGAGGATCTCAAGTTGCAACTCCTACTGAATTGAAAATATTTTTTCTGCATGCACCACGATGCCGCAGAGTCTGCCAGCCAAGTTCCGTTTATTTCATGCAAAAATAGGTTTACATTCTCATCTGTCTCGGAAATAAACTTTTATTATTTAAAAACGTGAACAATTTTTGTATCTTGTAAATTTGACAAGCTGTGACATTATAAAGCTGTTCATTCATACTTAAAAAACAACTGTACAGTCCGCATAGTCTTTGATGCCTAGCGTCTTGTGTTAATTTTCACTGATCGAACAATGATAAAGCTAATCAGAATCTTCGTCTGAACCCTGAGAAGCGGAAGTATATCCTTTAAAAGTTTTTACTTTCTCATGCATAATTTCGAGTCGTTCATCTATCTTGACCGCGTCTTTGGCAAAAAAACCTTCCTTCCTTAAAAAAAGGAGGGAGTTATAATGTGAACGCTGTTGCAAGGTCCTCAAAACAGATAAATTTATTTCTTGCAATTCCAATGCCCTCTTTAACTTTAACTCGCCGCCGTCATCAATGTCAGCCACCACAGTAAAGACTTCTTCGTCTTGACACAACAACTTAAGGAGATCTCTTGTTCTGGTTTGCTGGCCGTCGATTTTGCGTTGTTTGGCCTTACTCGCATTGTCGCGTTTTCGTTTTCGTTTGCGCCTAGCTTCCGCACTTGCAAGGCTGAATTTGTGCTGATCGGCCAACTTCTTTTGGGTTTCTAAGATCTCTTCTTTCAGGGATTGAAATTTGTCTTTCAGATCGGAGGTTGTAGCTAATGTGTTTTGAGAATAGGCGAACTGCTCCTTTGCCCACGACTTAAATGTGACACTTGACGGTTCAAACAATCCTTCCTTTTGGTGCATTAATGACTCGTGAATCTGTGCAAGTTGATTTAATTTGGAGTCAATCTCTTTAATCGCAGAGATACATATTGTGGCATCTTGAGGCCTTGATGGATTTGGCAAAGTTCTCACACGAGCC